CGGTTCTTGCCGCTCGTCAGGCATGCGTATCCGGTAATCTTTTGTCAGTTCATTCATATACTTGTACCCAGGAAGTGTATTTTCGTCACAATAACCTTGTTTGCAACGCCGGGTGACCATTGGATAGACAGCTCTTTCAGAGCCAGTCCAATGAAGAATCAATGCTATGATTCGATGTTTTGTAAGTGGGTTAGATGCTACTAACCGCAACAAACGTGACCTGATGGTTGTGTTAGAATATTTGATAATGAGTAGCATGTGAATGACTGGACAAAATTTCCCTGGAAGCATACGACCGGTTTCACGGTTCTTGCCGCTCGTCAGGCATGCGTATCCGGTAATCTTTTGTCAGTTCATTCATATACTTGTACATGAACACTAATCCACACACACACGATTAACGGGAGAGCATTTGATCGATGAAAACAGACTGCTGCAGAGTGACAATCACAAGCACCGGTCGCGATCAACCATATTGCGCAACAGTCTAATTCGGAACTAAAGACTGAAATGCAACTGGTTTAAAATTTCGGTAAATATGCGAAGCATTTCTAGCGTGAATGAAAACCGTCTGGTGGAAACCATTTGGAGATGGCGCGTGATTTTAAGTAACCAGATCACGTTTTCAATGAAATGAGATTAAAAAAATTTAGTGAGATACTTCATCCAAAGAACGAAAAGAATCTGTAGCTTAGAGACCCCTTAGAACGAGCTGATCCACGTAAGAGACGTCCTTCAAGAAAACGGATACCTGAAACCATTCAATCGATGATTCTTCAAAACGAACTCGAAAGATGTGAAAATAAGGAGAACTCAATAAGTGGTGTTGGGGATTTTACTTTTACAGGAAAATTCTATACATCAAAAGCCAATGCCAGTCATTTTTCGGCAAGGCACTTACGAGTCACAATCGATTTCAAAACAATTAGTATTCGCAGAAGTTCGCCAAATCGGTCGCAGCCATTCTTCGTCTATGAATCTGCGTGCAACTAAAATGCCCGTTTCACTAAAATGTGTTGGCACCTTCACACTTGTTTTATTCATACCCGATTAACGTCTTTCCTAATGGAAGCCTTCCATCCAATTTTCTCACTGTTTATTCTTATTTGCCTAGTATAAACTCATGGTTTATTATCTACCGAGCACAAACACGTCCAACAACCGTTTAATGATCTACCACGGGATTCAGCAAGTCAGAAAAACACTGCGGAGTACAAATTTCATCCGTGATTAATCCGAACTTTTGTCTGATGAAAGTGTGTCAGATAAACACTCTCACACACACACACTGCTGAATCGTCCGGCTATACAGGAGTTTTCGGAAAAAATGCAAAACTTTCGAAATCGTCAGCTTCATCGAAATCGAAGGCTTCAACTGTGAAAAGATGCAAAACGCGTTTTTATCAAAACCGAATTACTTCAGAGCAGGACGAATGGGCTCAGGACGAAGCCAGTGACCACGGACGACTTGGGAAAAATTGTCTTCTAAATCCCCAGTTGCTCTGATAAATCTGGGGGTGGGGGGGGGTAACTTCAATGGACCAGTGAATTGTGATCACACTGCCATTCGACACTGCGTCACTGGACAAAAGTACAAATAAACCACATTTGAAATTTCTACTCGCCAATGTGTTCCCCACTTGGTGAATCGCCTGGTATATGAAAATGCATAAGGTAATGAATCAAAAACATCATTCTTCATCTTTCCTCTTTGGAACCATCATAGTTGCGTTGTTTATCACATAATCGATAAACATCATCACAAAAATTACTACAATTGTTTCTGATATCAATGATACCGAGGGGCGTTGGATCCGAATAAACGTAGTCGAACAATGCGTACGTAGCATCAATTTGGGTACTCTAACACCGGCTGGATCTTACGTTCACAATATGGTTGATCCAATCAGAATGGTTAAAGTCTAAATAAAAATTGTGTAAACTGAGTCTCATCACGCGTGCAACACACACACACGTTCACCAATCCGGACCAACTGGGATCGAGTTCCGATTTGTTTGTTGCCGAACAATCTGTCCCATGATCAAGGGATTTTCGTATTACGAACGATATTGTTTATATTTTTATATTGTTTTACACGGTATTTAGAAAGAAAGTAGGTCACAACAGCACTTTATTTGCGGTTATTATGTCAAACGAGGTATTTAGCTGATATGTTTGATTGGGTTTTACTCGCGAATGAGGCACACTTTCGATGGTTTGGCTTGCTTCATTGGATCAAGTACATTTTTGCTACAAAAAGCTGAACAAATTTTATACCTATAAAGAACTCCTTGATAATCCCGGGAGAAAATGAAAACCGAAGATCAGGAGTGTGTGCAACTAAAGTGCAACACTAAGTGCTCACAACTGAGCTTCACCTGATGATTTCCTCAGATACTTCAAATGTGTTCCTTCAAAACTATTCCAAGAAAGAATACAACATGTACAGTTGATCCATTCAGCTTTTGTGGAATCATATGAACCGCCTGCCAACTGAATTCGGCGTCCATGGATTCCACGAGGGAGAGCGTGGTAATTCGCTCTATTTTGATAATTACACTTTCCTTAACAAGAATTAATTTTTAAACAGCTCGAAATAATTTAACATTCATCGGCGTTCGTGTCCAGCCGTATTCCCAGGAAAATGGGACAGATTATATCACTTAGTATATCTACAATGATCATAAAAATGATTGGCGCCTAAAATCTATACCACCTGCTTTCTTTCATGTTCGGTTGATTGAATTGCATTCACATCTGTTTTTGATTCCTTCCAAATCAGTTCACATGGCACTGTATCTCACGTGTTCAGCGATTTACTACTGGCAATAATTCACGATTTAGGACAATCGTTCGACGGTACCTGTCCAATCGGAACAGAACATTCACCGATTATTTGCCGTTCAGTTCTTATCGGTTGGTGCACTTGGGAGTAGTTCTATGACATGCAAGCATTTCCACATATACATCGATTTCCTGCTTTGCGGAATTTGCACCGTCTTAGAATAGTGCGGTATACACCATATGCCATGCAGTTTTTAGTTTGGGATTTTTCAAAAGAGATTCTATTTTTATCAATGGGACACGGAAATTCCCAAAGTTCCTCTATTGTGCGACTAAGTATCTTTACTGGTGAGTGTGAAAACGAGGCGGGAAATTTGTCGAAATGAACTGAACAAGAAGGAAAATTAAAAGTAATATTTTCGAACAGTTTGAACAAATGTGACATCACGATCAGATAACTCACACGATACTCGCTATTCAACGTGTGTGCTCGATATTCTGACACACCAGCGTCCCGTGCCTCCTCGTATTCCTCTTCGCGCGGATAGTATCGTGTAATCGGCACANTGCGTAAACTTCCATACGGTAGGGCTGTTTGATTCTACAATTTCCGAGGGATAACAGGTGGCTGTTCGTTCACAAGCTATGAAGCACATCATTGATGTATATATAGACAGAGGGACTACATGAAGTGGTGGTTTACAGCTTATCACTCAGTCAGTATAATGCAGTATTAAAAGAGAAACAAAGATGGGGAATAGTTTAGCACTTCAAACAACAAATGAAGCTATATGGTATTATGATCACTAGAGTACAATTACGCCAGAGTTGCCTAGTAAAAATGGGTCAATGCATACAATAGAACATTATTGTACGGATCGTGCATAATTTCAAGCCATGAAGATCTAATTCTAGCGTTTCGTTCGAAGGGGTTTCCTGAAAAACTGACTTTTAGAGGGATCAAGGGAAAAGTAAGCATTCTAGAAGAAAGAAACAGACTATGGTTAGACGTTTTTAACAGTTGATTGATCAAGTTTCTGGATCGAAATTTCCGGGTGAGAGGCTGCAGAAGACTTGCAAATGATCATTTTAACTAAGCAAATCATATATGCGAGGTGGTGGCTAATGGAGATACGCGATTGATGTTTATTTCGATAATCTGAAGAAGAACAATGACCTCGCAAACTGAAATAAAAAATGGGATGGTTGAACAAAACGTAGGGCATCCAATATAGATAAAATGCTACAAACGCTTTTCGATATTGGTTATTGTAATTCATTATTTGAACTGTCAAACAATGAAATAACAAGAGATAGTCATATCACCCGAGAAAACGCATCAGCTTCTGAATTAAAATAAAAACGAATGGTGTTTGAGGGTGGGTCGTGGTGTAAGCACCGCACATTTTCTGCACTATCTTTGATGCCAATTCTGGCCTCCATTTGTAGAATGAACTTTTATTGAGGGCCAAGGTCTTCTTTAGAAAGCAATGTCCCCATTAATATTGCAATTTCACCGTGGATTCTTTTAGATGAAAAACATCGACGGGACTCTTTTAACTAATGATTAAGTATTTTTATAAACAAGGCCATGATCAGTCTCAGTTAATTACAACTGAAGTGGAAAATTCAGGCATGGGAGTAGAACAATAAACCTACAGACCGCTTCGATACTGATCTTCCCCGTTTGACCAACCCCAAACAACAGAAATCCCGAGTGTGAATCGTCGACCTCTCTCCGATGACATGACCAGACACAAAAAACCGTTGTCTTTATCTTGCACAAAATGTCAGGCGCATTTGATACACACTCTGGTATGTCACGGGATCATTATCGATTTCACGGTGTAATCGAAGATGGATAAATTTGCCGGTGAACAGCAGATGGGAACAGTGAAAAAGTTACTGTCCGAGCAATAAATTCAGCCTTCATAGTTTAACGTGGTATTGATCGTACTGAAATCTTTCTAGTTCTATTTATTTGGAAATAATTAAACTGTGTAAGCAACCAGATAACTGTACAACAAAAAAAGCAGTTGAATAGACTTATAAGGAGAAGAAAAACTGAAAAATCCTTCCTAACCGGTTTGCTTCTCATAACTAGCTCCACTGATGCCCGATTCTCACACTTGATTACCTTTCTTGTCATGCCTCAGATTTCTCCAACAAAGCGGCTGTTCCATCGCAGTTGCCTCAANCTCAATTCTGTTCTGCCTATTTATCATTTACTGGGGTTTTTATAGCGCGGGTCCCTGTCCTAAATATTGATTATTTATTTGTTCTGTATCAACCGAAAGAAGTCAAAATATATTATTTGAAAGAAATCATATGTGAATTATTTATTCTGCGGGCATTTAGCAACATTTACCGCACAGAAGATCTCGTCTGTTCGTGCGTCTGTTCATCCGTTCCTCTTAGAATTTTACATATAGTATTCACTACGTTAAACACGGACCAAACCCATAATCGTCGATTTCAACTTAAATCGTATTTTTTAATTTCATATTTTACCTTTTAGTTGAATCAAAGTTTAATAGGTTATATATCTTTATTATTGTTTTCCTCGGGTTTCAGGATATCAACTTCATAGAGCCAGGATTTTACTTGAACACAATGTCTAGTCCTTGTAATTGTTTCGGGGGTTATTTACCGAGAAAATATGTTTCTTATATTATTTACCGGGAAGTAGTTTCACTTGTTTTATATTCTCTATCTGTTTTGCACCTACATATATTCTAGTTTGTTTGTATGATTGCGGTCGCAGTTGTTGTTGTTGCTACGATAGCACTCACTTCGCTCGTAAATTGCTGTGCCAATCCGGAGCACAGCAAGCAGACATCAGTCATTTCTGTGAAATTTTGGCAAGCCGAAGTGCCTCCGTTTATTTCAAGGACCTTATATTCGGATACTCCCACACCCACCATTCCACTTTTCGCCCACATGTAACCCTTCTTTTTAGGTCAGCACCAATAGGTTGGGCTCTAATTGGACGGTTCCCTCTCTTGGCTGTCAAATAGTTCCTCGCTCGATCTCAGCTTACGTAAGTGAGTGACCAAAAACGTGTTTTTGAACGCAGCCACATGCTGCACTCATTTGAGTACATCCGCCTTGATAGTTAATATTTTCTTGGTGAAAATAAGCACAAGAGAACATTTAAATTCATAGCGCTCTGGTCACGGTTCCCAAAACTTTATCTATTCGAATGAGTATATCTGACATCACTAACATTCATTTCACTTGTGCAACATCTTATTGACCAGCCCTTTTCCAACCATCTCACTCAGTCTCATTTAGTGTATTGATACGGCAATGATTCAAAACCGTTAGTGAATACTTCTGGAGTTCTACAGGGTGCTGTGGTTTCTCCATGCTTATCTTCAACGTCCATTAGCGACTTACCCTCTATCCTTTAAATATACTGGTGATGTGGTCTTATGTCAAGCCATCTTAAACCAATCTGACACGGAATTATTTTCTGACAGTTTAGCAAATGTGAAAGTATTCTCAAACCCACTCGCTCTCAAGATGAATGCTCCTAAATGTTTCGTATGCGTTTTTAGTTTTTCCCGATCTGAGTATCCCTTGGGACCCTCAGTTATCGATTCCGTACCCATGGCCAGAAAACATCACCAAATACCAAGGGGTCACTATAGAGAGCAATCTATGGTCGTCCTATCATGTGCTAGTCTGTGTTGGTAGACTGCGCCGCCTATTCTTCCAGATACACAATCTATGTCAAACTCAGAGTAAAGCCTGCAACCATATATACTTTTTCGCAAGAGGAATTCGTACTGAATAGAGCAAATGAAGCGTGAACTTAATAGCTAGGAAGCAAATTTTTTGGTCTGGCTAGGTCTCATCAGTTCACGCTTCATTTGCTCTATCCACGACGAATTCCCTCTATGAAGTTGAATCAAATCCTCCTATACCATGAACAAATAAAGTTTGATCGAATGATAAATTCGTCGTGTAAATGAAGTGTAATCTGAAAAGCTGGGAAGCACTGGACAGCTGTTTCGACTTGGCTGGGTTTCATCAGCAGTCCCAGTACATCGACCCAAATGCGGATTGAACACAGGGCCTTACAGGCAGAACGCAAGTGTGCTACCCACTCAACCATCGGGCAGCTGATCAATGCGGTTTTCATTTTCCATTTACACGGCATAGCACAACCCATCCTTGCGAGCTTGTTGTGGGCATTACGTCTCGTTCATCTCAGCACTAGCCTCTGGGGTTATGACTCAGTTGGAAACTTTCACAACCTGACTATATGTTGCATGAGAGTATTGGAGGATTTGATTCAATTTCATAAGATAGATTCGTCGTGTATAGAGTTCGATACACGACGAATTCCCCCTGAGAAATATATATTCTGTTATTTATCAGTGCATTTTTTGTGTCATACCTCATTATTCGCCTTTATTTTCCCTGATTTATTCAGAAAGGACTTTCCTACTGTTTACCGCCGTTTGGTAATTACTAACCGTGTTTATATTATTTCCACAAACATTGTAATCACAAAATTGTGTGAGTTTTAGATAACTTCATGTGAAAATTTTCGCCCATAACACACTTTACGACCTCAGGAATTCGCTCAATCCCGATCTATCTGCTTGTCATTCCCAAGCTACACCCTGATCCGATGATTGTTTCTTACCCTCCCGCATAAACGTTTATAGGAATTACACTGTACTCTATGTGGCTCGTATTCTAATTAACAAGAATAAGACACTAAACAAACCAATTTTAAATATGCAAATATCATATAAGTTATAATTGTGAAAACACAGCGATGTCGGTACAGGTTTTGGATTCGATTGTAAAATCACCTTGAGAAAGGTTACCCACTGTAACCGAAAAGTCCGCTTATTTTCACCTGTACCAATATCACTGTGTTTCTACAATTACAACTTATACAAAACATATAACATGGTGTATCGATTTTTCTAACGTCATTCGGATTTAACATTATCTTCTGTTTAATTATCATCATTCTGTATATAAATCTTCATTTTTTATCCTCTTTTAACGGTTAATTTAACTGAAATGTAGGTATAATTGCTTGCACCTATCATGACAATACCATACCTATTTTTCATTTGTGCACAGAGTGGTGTACAGCGTTCGGTCAGATTCACATGATACACACACACTCGATGTTTTGATCGACAGACTGACAGACGAAATCCTCGAGCTCACTTCCATCAGCTATCAGGTCCATTCCCAAATGCGGTCGGAATCGCACTAACGTGAAAATTCGTCGAACACACCTGACCGCTTTTGGCGCCAGGCACTGTTGATGGTCTTGGGTGTGAGTTTCACTCATTGAGAGATCGTTAGCTCCTCAATAGTTTACGCAGTAAATTGTGATGGATATTGCTTGAGTCATTTGCACAATGTGAAGGTAAGGATTTGAAATCCCGAATTTAATCTCCTCAGTTTGAGTCCTGACAGGGACTCAAAAAGTACGCACGGCTGACGAGTCCCAACCAGGACGAAACAGCTGTTCAGTGCTGTTTGTCGGTCATCACAAATATTCCCATTGCAATGAAATGCACCTGACGACGCCTTATTTTTTCAATAAGGATTCATACTAAAGAAGCTGAAAAAGACAATTTAGAGATCAAGTGACCAAAAATCAGTCACAGCTTGAGGTTCCAGACACTTTTGGCAGCCAACCTTCGTCCAAAGTTATTAGTCAGTGAACTGTGAAGGAGTGATATGCAAAATTGTGTTGGTGGGACCAGTTTAAGTCATCGTCAATTAAAATTTCCATAATTCTGTCGCGTATTACGTATCCGATCAGGTTATTGTCTATACCACCCAGCGGTTATCAACACCAATTCCGGTGAACGAATTGTTATCAGCCTTTGTTAATTCTAACTTGTCATTTATCGATTTCGGTGTCAAAGTGCAGTGATCTGTTCTGTGCCCGATTATGTGACAAATGGACCGAGTTCATCGGCGTGAATTGCGTTTGAATCATAAATGGTGTGCACATACGCATTGAGGGAACGGGGATCGCCATCTTCAAGATGTTCTATAGTTAGCTCGCTTTCTTCAGCATTCGAATCCACACAGCAAGTTCGAATGGCACTCAACGAAAATAATGATCTGAGACCACAGTTGTACCACTTTCGGAATTAGATCATAGATCGAGTGTATCCTAATATCTCTAGTCTGCGTGCTTAAAGTGCCTTGATTTGAAGCAATCAGTGCCAATGATTTGGAGTCCTGCAGATTCAATCATGCAGATGGGTAAGCCACAAAAAGCACAACACAACCGGAAACGAGAAACGACAAAACAGATAGATACCAATAGCTCGTCAATGTATTCCAAAGTTTGTCTGTCCTTTTCCTGAGTTTTCGACAATGCTGCCGTATACTCGTCCGATATGCGAGCCGTCGCGTCACGAGCAATTTGACGGACACGAGTGGTGTCCGTATCCGCATCGGCTGTCAGATAAGAAGAGAATGAATAAGCAAAAGCGTAAAAGAACTGGCCCCAAATTTGACCGTTGAAAACATTCACAGACGTGGAGGTTTGTTAATTAGCATGACACAATGGGAAACCAAATAGGTTAATTTGTACTCACTATTTTGAGATCAAACATTAAAAAATAAATCTATGAACTATTGTGTGTCATTTGTGAAGCCCCTGAAAACCGACGGGAAACCGGCATAGAGTGAACAGTGTATTACCAAAATTCACCAATGATTTCATGTAGTGCTTTGTTATCCATTCGCTATTTTCGTCACATAAATGTACCATAAGGGAATTTGATTAGAGCAAACCGGAATAGAGAATTATCGCCTTCCCCCTTAGTGTGTAATGCTTGGATAGACAGGAATGATTGCACAAAATGGGTTTTGGTCACTGATGAAAACTGCTTCACTACACCTCGTGGTTGAACTACATTTGATTAGTTCACTGAAAAAACAAAATCAGTCAGTCCTGTTGAAACGATAGCTGTCACTGAGAAGCAACATCCAACGCTTTCCCGTCTACCAAAAGGTCAGTAAACGTGGTTAATTCATCGTGATTTGGGTAATAGTAATTAGAAAATTGGATCTGCAAAAATCTTAAACAGGAGCGATTAGAAATCTCATGATGGTACTCAAACTTTTGCACATTGAAGCAGTCGACCATAGGCGACCAGTGAGCACACACCACCTTTGGATCTCTGTCTTATAATGTGAGTCCGAACACTCGATTCTGAATGCCTATACAGTATAGTACCAGTATTTCTTTTCAGAGCATGAAGAACCGAAAATGCACATTTCAGTGCTTAGTCTGTTAAAAAAACTATAGTTTTGACAGAGAAAACCCTCTAATCATAAAACGGCTAAGATCTTTAGTACTCCGTTCATTATCGTCCGAAACATTGAGTTTCTTCAAATCAACGCGAATTTACTGTATCGCGACGATGAGTTGTTCAACCATCAAACAAAACTCGTGCAGTTTGGTTGAGTGCCGCTGTGCTGCGAATCCTATACAAGGTTTTATTATTTGTTTAACTGACATAAAAGAGAAAAAATGGACCAGTTGTCTTCCTCACTCTCTGAAAAATGAACGAAAATCAAACCACGGATCAGTTAACAAGTACAACATTCTCCCGGTAATCCTACGTCAAGGTACTATTATATTTCTCGTTTAGTTGACGTTAACACGTTTGGGGTCATTACCTGGAATTATCTCAATGTTCATTTCGCATCAGACCCACCAATGCCTGTAGAATTAGGCAGAAATTTCCTAGGTGAGTAGCGATTGTAAGTATTTCATTTTCTAACCGATAGATGATGAAACACAATATAAATTAAACGAAGTAAATATGGATGCTGCGTATGGTTTTCATATCATCAGGATACGAAATAAGTTATAAAACGAATTAGACTGCAATGGTTTGTGAAACGCGCAACAATATACTGTTCTGAGAAGAAAGGATAAATCCAGCTTACCTCGGTTTTTACGTTTCGCGTAGCTGATTTGCATATCCCGATACGGTCTGTTAAAGTACATGATTCTTGGGGAAATTTCTGTAGGATACAGAGAGACGTTTTATCATAATCCAAACTCCGAACAAACTTGGTAACCTGGAGATAGTGATTTTTTGTAGGATTCGGTTATTATATAGCTGATGCAGTTCAAACTACCCCCGTTTTTTCCTACAGTTCATGCCATTGCTTTTGTCCAATGAGACGGGCAGTCATCTTGCAGGCTGGTAGGCACGGTGTGTGTGTGTGTGTGTGTGTGTGTGAACCACAATGAGGTCACATGTAGCTCGTTTGACTTACGACTTTTGGGCACAAACACAACAACTGAGCTGTAAAAGAAATCCGTAGCCCCACCGGTGTAAATTATGGTACAGAGCTCGAAGATGTACCATTGTTACAAACAACTCACAAAATTTACTGGCCCTAACTTTTGACAAGCACAACATGATCGAGCTCCGATTTCGTTGAAGCGCGCGTGTGTGTCGCGCTTTCAAAGCATTGGCGAAATAGTGAATCACGACGATTGGTGAAAACTTTATCAGCCTGGAAATAATCGATGATCGGTAAATTTCGGAATTATTTGGTACTCCTTCTGTCCAAATAGTACCTTACTTGTGGAGATATATTTCAAGCACGTGTTGGAAAAGTTAACATAGGTTGCAATAAAAGGATTCAATTTTTTTGGTATCTTCAATAGCTTGCCTGAAATTCGCGTAACGCAGCCCTTCCACTGTCGACCGAATTCGGCCAGTCGAACCCTCTCTTATTGTCAACCAAGGCCGTTTTCACTTCCTTTAATAAGCCTATGTACAGCTGTTAAAGCATGGGGCATTCACTAGCGCGAATCTCTCTGCGTTCTGTTTGTTATGGGCACAGATTCATATGTACATCTTATTATGGATGACCACAATAGAGAGTGCGGTGTTCCGACTGCACAAAACGGCCCCATATCGATCGCTGATCGCCTCTCCTTAAAGTTCTCCTCCATTTCTGATGTGCGCATACTGGCGGGCACACACACACCCGTAGTAGGTCAGTTTTCAATCAAGGCTTGTTCTGTCCCATGATATTTGTAACCGGCACGCCTTTGCCAACGTGTCACCATTAATTGTTTCTAATCCATGATCGCTCGTATTTTTCATTCTACTGTTTGCCACTTTTTGAAAGGATACCTGTTCACTGAGGCAATCGGCTGTGTTCTGTCGATCTGTAGCGTAAAGTGCAGTTTTGTGGTAATTAGTGAATACCATTCAATATTTTGATTCTCGATGACTTCGATCAGAAATCCCCCTGGTAATGCGTAATTCTATTACCCGCCGTTATAGCGTTCTATAATTCTTTTTGAGTTCGTTCCCAACGCAACATTTCTATTTCCAGCATCGTGTATGTAGGTCACTTCATGACATGTTCATGCCAGCATATTAAATGTATGCTTTTACCATGAAGCAATACTGTGATATTTCAATAAAATCCCAACCATCTTGATTTCAGATTATTTCTTTTTGAAGTTACCGTCAAACCAATGCCCTCCGGGCCACACACGCTATTCGAAGTCTCCAAACGTGTTGAGATACACTGAACTCGGTTTTACAATCCACTACTCCGCACACATACAACACCTTCCCGAATGCGCGTGTCTATCTGAAATGCATTCAAGTGCAGCAGAAGTATCACAATTGAAAAGTGACAGACGACTGTACTTGCTTGTGTAGCATTATTCGTGACTGCCATAATGAACGGTGCATAAGGGGAGAGGATAAACGTTTTAATCTGACATCAGTACATTCCAGGGTCTCATGCAAATTCCTCATCCATTCCTATCCTTTGTTCCTCCTTTGCCACCTC